AAATATAGACCCTATTTTCGAATGATGACATAGACAATACTAAATGCAGCACAGATCATAGATATGTTGAAGATCCAGTTACGATTTTTCCAGATACGAATTTAGTTAGATCGTGATATGCCGCTAATAATTAAAAAAATATCGTTTTTGATACGAATTTCGATATTGATTATTTTGTATCAATGTATCGATATATCGAATCAAAATATATCGGCAAAAAATATCGATATATCGAACAAAAAATATCGATATATCGATACATCGATATATTTTCAACAAGCCTAATTCTATGTTTCAGTCTAGGTGAACGTTTAGGACGCGATTTTAAAACTGTTTTAGGGAATGATATTAATATGGGGAAGTGGTCACTGCCGAAAGTGGAGGAAAGCGTGCTCCATGAAAAGAAAGAAGCTAAATTGGGGGTGGAGATAGTTAAATCCGGGGCGCTTATGCCTTCATTAGGCTGTGTGCGTCTAGTCGGATCACCAGAGTTTAAAATACAAAAGTTATTCTCATCTACAATATCTAAAATTCTAGCGCCGTAATAGCTTGAGCTAGAACTACCCCAAGATCAATGTTGAGCGTTAAAATCACCCATTATCAAAATAGGTTTAGGTAATCGCGATAGAATAGCTGCTACTTCATCATATATAGAGGATGACGGATGAGGAATGTATATTGACACAAAGCATTTATTTTGAACGGATGCAGCTATTATTGAGAAGTCAGTACTATGGTTAGTAATTGGAATATGCTGGAAAGGAACAGTGTCACTTATTATTAAAGCAACACCACCATAGCTATCAGTTCTTTCTTCTCTTAAACAAAAATAATTAGAAATATTAAAGTTAGTGTTGGGTTGGAGCCATGTTTCTTGTAGTGTCATAATAATTGGTTTGTATAAAATATGTTAATAATATACAGTAAGTCTGATTTTTTATTCCTTATGTTGCGGCAATTCCACTGAAGGATTGTGGACTGAAGATCCAGTATTGGTATCATTATTATTAATTAAATTATTCATATTTAAAATAGCAGCGTTGGACGGTTCAAAATAATTATTTTGTTGAGACAGTGAGTTAATTAAAACAATAATTAAATCTTTTATTGACAAAGTGGATAAAGGATTATTTTTCAAGGTGCCAATTTATGGTAAAGGGATATCATAGTTCTGAGTTAATGCAGCATGGGCTACCTTATCATTATTTCTTGTGATACTGGAGCAGTAGGAATTTTGGAAGATTTAAATTTAGTGGGGAGGTTTTCTTCAAAATGACTATTATCGTCAGTACACTGACAATCTTTTTCATTAAAAGCCACTGAAGAGGATTTGTAATGCCTTCTCTTTTTGTTGCAATGCTTACAAATTTTTCGGGATGAGACTCGTTTACGTTTGTTATTATTAAAGTTGTTATCAGAAGCATCAGTGTCAATTAAAGAGCCCTCTGTTTCCATTTCTTTTTCATTACAATCATATGGAATTGTAACAATATGCGACACCTGGGGGGCTGTCCCCCCAGGGTCTAAAGGGTCATTCATACGTAAGAAATGTTAAAAACTTACCAATACAGCGAATATAATTATACACTACTAATAAATATTAAAATATACACTAAACTAAGGACCTATCTGATCCCAATGACTAATAATAGAAATTAATAAAAATTCTTGCCAAAAAGTACGTCCGCCTAAGTTGAAGGTTTCCCGCGCTTTTCTCTGTCAAGTTTTTAAACATCAAATATGAATTGCTTTTTTACCAAGTGCCGGCAAACAAATATTTTTAAAACCTACACACTGAGGGTAGGTTTGGAGGGAACGCAGTCCATTTAACAGGGATTAACTTAAGCCTCGACGACAAGGGGGGAGTTAGATGCTACAAGCCATCGAGTTTGCTAGCAGCTTGTAACTCGCCCCTTGTTATTGACTTTTTTACCATCTACTACGATGATACGGGACGAGATTACAAGCTACTAGCGACCTGGCTGGCTTGTAGCTTGTAACACAGTCTGTCAATAAAGTCATGAAAAGGAGGTCACTGCTGTCGCTTACACATGATATCCCCGTTATACATCGACTAAAGCACTTTGATACTTGTTAAAAAGTACAATTGTTTAATTATATAACTTTCATACATTTCATTATTATCCGTGTTTCTATCTTATCTTATCTTCATAAGTTTTTTTTTTCTGCAACTGCTTGATACTTTGCTGGAATTCTGAAAAAATCTACTCACTATTTTCTACTTCAAACTTTCTTATGATAAATCGAGCAGTTTAATGCTGAAAAATAAATCAGCTTCAATCTTATCAAAAGTCACGCTTCACTTTCGAGGGCTAGTCAAGCCACTTATGACCAGCCTCTTTTTCGGACACTCACTAAAGGTGGGAAATAAAAAGAAAGATAGTTATTAGTGTGAATGAGTATTATTATCATTATTCAGAGATCAAATAATCTAATTAAAATGAACATTCCTTTGTCATCAAGTTGCTGTTTGTTGAATGCCTCATAGGATTAATTGGCACTGCTAATAGTTTTATTAGTTTTCTAGTATAAAAATTAACTTTTTGACGAACCGATGGCACTTACAGTTTGTCTATAAAGTCGTGACATGAATGTTTGAGGAACTAACATTGTTCATGTGTCTGACAACACCAAACTTATGTACATTAGCTGAATTCAGCTGTCATCGAGTTTCAGTTGTGGAACAGTTTTCCTTTTGTATTTTTTATTGTTTGGATTAAACTGTAATAAATTAAGACGAAACTACGTAGAAAGGTATAAAAATGAGTAAAGTAAATCGGAGTGGCACGCGGGAAGTGATTTTTAAAGTTTTCCAGCTATGTTTCGAAGACTACCAAGCTGGACGAATTTTGTGGGATTTGGATGATATTTATGGGCGAACAGCATCTATAACGGGTATGTAATCGTGTAACTATTTATTTGTAATATGCCTGAAGTTACAAATTTACTCAATTTACGATTTTGAGACCAAAAAAGGCATTATTAACATTGCACATTTTTAGGTTAGATTGACATTGGTGTAGATTCTGGCGTGGTTCTCTAAACTTAAAACTAAATTTAACATCAGTCTCACCTTTTCATTCTGTATAGCGAATGACAAGGATATACTGCTGTCAAATTTAAGTTTAGCTTTAGAGAATCATGCCAGAATCGACATCAGTGTAAATAGGTAATATTGTAGTACGACCATTTCTTTTGATACGTTATTATGGTTCAACTCGGTCAGGTTTTCTACCAATTTTGAATTAATTGCTTCATGTCAATAAGTTATTGTTTCTATACCGTTACATATATTTTTACTTTTTTTCAGGAAAATCAGAGAGTCGGATAGTCAACGAAGGTTTTAAGAATGATGGAAAGTTTGAAACTCCTGTGAAAACAGGCAAGGCCGACCAAAGAAAGAAATGGTCACCTAAAGAACCATGGCCAGATACTTTTAGTGAAGATACCTATCACTAATTTTACTAACTGCACATTAACAAATTGTTTCTCTAAATAAACTTTTAATATACTATAAAATGATTTTTAGTATTATTTTCTTAACAAGTGTGATAAAAAACGTCGTATGATGATAATTGTATGTATTGATGATTACCTAACGGCACTGGTCTCAATGGCAACTCAGCGGTAATCACCAACATTACACAAATTTACACTTTATCGTACTATCTTTATATATATAATTCTTCTGTGAGTGTGTATGTCACTGAATTTCTCTTAAACGATTGGACCGATTTTGATGAAATTTTTTGTGTGTGTTCAAGGGGATCTGAGAATGGTTTAGATTCACAATTTTGTCCGCTGGACAACCCCTATTTTTTTAGGGCGGTACGAAGTTCGCTGGGTCAGCTAGTTTTATATATAATAATTTTATTCTGATTCAATTAAATATGCTTGGCTAAACTTTTTATAAGCATAGGTACTGTAACGTCCGTGACGTTACAGCCTCCTTGTTTAGGTAAACTCTTTGCTTTTGCAATGCCTACGGTTGGCAGTTATATTAAAAAGTTAATGTCATGATTTTAAGATTTGAAATAAGGAATCGTCTGTCTTTTGATAGAAGGTTCCATTCAAGAGTAGATCTTCAGGCACCAAGCAAACCTCTCGTAGTTAGATAAAAATAATTGTAATCGCCTGAAATCTAATATAAAATAATAACCATCGTCAAGTTGTTTTAATGAAGAGCCACGTCCCCAGGTTCTATCCATTCTGGCTAGAGCTCCATAGTACCGATTCAACGGCGAGAGCGGTCATTGCTCCCGGCCGCTCGTCTTGTTTTTACGTTTTTTTTAGTAGTGCTTATTAGTTATTTTTTACTTACTCTGTATGCGTGTTTAAAAAGAATAATTATTTAGAACCCAAAAGGAGGAAAGGACTTAAAATATAACAAAAAAAAATATTTTAAATCATTTTTAAAAAATCCGAAAAAATTCAGAGATACTCTATATACGTAACCCAACAATCCCACGAAGTTTCATTAAAACATTAAATTTCACCCTGTATATATGGTGAATATATTATCGCTATAATATACTCACTCCTCGCACTCCTTCTTTTAAATAAAATATTGATGTCGATTCTGGCATGATTCTCTAGAGCTAAAATTAAATTTGACAACAGTGCATCCCTGTCATTCTCTATACAGAATGAAAAGAAGAGACTGATGTTAAATTTAGTTTTAAGTTTAGAGAATCACGCTAGAATCGACATCATTTTATATGTATAATATTGTATATAGAAATCTACAATCTTTTCTGTTTGAAAAAAAAAAATTATCGATACGAGTTCGGACTTTTCTATTTTCATTTTTCAGGCAGGCGACACTAGTTGTCTTGCTTGACATTTTGAATTCTTTGATTTCTTTGTAGTTTTGCAAATGATAGTGCTTTCTCATGTTGTGTTTTTAAAATTATTCTAGTGCCATGTGCCTGCAACAAGATAGAAGAATTTGGTATATGTTATCCTAACATTAGGTGATAATGGCCGCGTCAGCTAGTGAAATCGAAGATTTCTTATACGGGCCTCTGGTTTCGTGGGTGAGTGATCAGCAATCCGTGTACCTACCTCTGTTTTTATTACAGATGTCTAAAGTGAAGCGTGAGACAAAATAGTCTCCGTTCCGTATGAATGATTGTCTTGGATAATTCATATTGTGTTTAAAATAAAAGAATACACATTCTAATACAGTACTATCACTCTACTTTTATGGTGTATTTTATTCATTTGATGTGAAATAAAATTCTAACTGTTTATAACAATCTATAATTTACGTACCTATGGTGTATTTGGTGAAACAATACAAGTACCTGCTAACTGAAGTAATAATTGCAATTCTTGTAGAAGTTATTGTTTAAGATTTGTGCCTGATTTAATTTTCACGCATGTTTGATTAAGTTTTACAATATTTACTTGATAATATTTGGTTTCTAGGTTTTCTCTGATCTGATAGAATGGGCTTATGCCTCGCTGTTATTTTTGTTACAGTACTTAATCAAATTCAATTAAATATTTTTATTGTTAATTGTGCATTACCAGTTAAAATTTTATTGCAGATAGTTTTTATCGTAGATATATTGTACACTTACAGGGTTTATGTTGCATCTCTAAAGCTAAATTGGATATACTGTACTTCCAGGGCCCAAAAGTAAAAACTTCAGTTTTGTTGGTTGTAATTTCGCATTTTTTTTGTTAAAAAGGTTTCTGTTAACCACATTATTAAGAAAAATGTCACACTTATGCACTGGTAGTTTTTTAGAAAAAAATATTGAAAATTTTTACTTTTCTTATCAAGTGGTGATACTTCACACTAGGTTAGGTTAGGTTAGTGTTGTGACCATAACGCGCGAGCCGAGCGAGCAAAGTGAGCGTGCCGCGGTAGTGGCCGACGAAGCGCCAGAAAAAGAATCGGTACTTAATTCCATTATATGTAATTGAATTTCGGGGTAATTTGTAGGGGAGGGGGAGGGGGAGGGCTATTTATGCATAAAAAAATGGCAGCACTGATCATGAAAATTGCGAAAAAAAAAAATGTTGTCAAAATTGACTCATAACCTACAAAAATATTAATTTTCAATAATTTTTTTCTCGAGTTCTATTCGTTTCCGCCAAAAAAGATTTCGTGTACGTGTTTTTAATAGTTAATACTTTGCGTGACAAAAATTTCAGCTTGCAACAATATAATGGAAAGGTGAGCCAAAGAATCTGTTAAAAAGACCTTTTCTACAAAAAAAACAAGTATCACCTTTTGGGCCCTGGAAGTACAGTTTTACCGCTAAATTATCAATTGTATATTAGCATACCCATTTGCTTTTTCAACAGATTTTATTTACATTCATACACCAAGTATAAAGATTTTTTTTATTAGAATGCAATTTTGACAAATTTTAATTTTCCTTTGAACAAGTATTGATTAGTTTTTAATGAAAAATGTATCTTTTATTATTAAAATATTTATATTTACTTTTGTGTCTCTGATTTTGTTTTCGGTATGGCTAATAGATATTGTCCTTTATAAACAATAAATATCAACATCATTTGTTAACCTTAGCTCTGCTATTGAGAGCAGGTAATAATAATAGAAATCCGAGAGTCTTATTTCTGTTTGTTGTATTAATTCTACACATAAACATGCATTTTAGTTTTCCTATTAAAAGATAACTTTTCAATTATTGAGTATTCTAGTTAACAAACCATGCATTCTCAATTTCAGCTAAAATCATGTTTAATAAACTCTGATTTAATCACTGATTATACATCTCTGTTCAATGGTGATATACTACACCAGCTGTACCTTCAAATTGACCCAGAACCAACTCATCATATTACAAAATTAACTGGTTTAGAGGAGCAAGCACTACTTCTGGGAAGAGTGAAGAACTTTGATGCAATTGTGAAAAATGTTAAGAATTTGTATGAAGAAGAGTTGGGAATGACCCTTTTGGTTGTGCCAGAATGCATATGCTTAGGAAAGTCACCTGAATCTAGAGATGGCCTAGAGAATATGAAGCTTCTTCTTTTACTCTTGCTTGGTGCAGCTGTTCAGTGTCCAAACAAAGAACTGTTCATTACTCGGATCAAAGAACTAGATGTGGAACTACAGCATAATATAGTGGAGTGTATTAAGCAGGTATGATATGGGTTATTATTTATAATATCTTGTGATTTCACAAGAAATGTGAACATTGATTAAGTAAAAATACATACTACCTGCACATCTAGTATTAAGTAGCTATCTATTTTATCATCATGATCCCTAGTAACTCACTGCCTCCCCTCGCAGGTATAGTATATGGACTTCTATAAACATGCCCTCACTAACTCAGGATCTTCTTTTTCATACAATAACTAATTGTGGACTTCAAGTGGATGCACCACTCTGCAACAAATGGCACCTGCTGTATGCATGCTGGTTTTAAGTATTTTTAAGCCTGGCATCAACTATTGACCAAATGTGCCAAATTAAATAGATTTAATTTCTTCTATGTAAGGCTAATATGAGATGCGTTAAATCAAAATATTCATTTATCGCAACTTATTATAGGTAGTTTTTGTGTGATGGACTGCTAAGATGCAGTTTCCATTTAAGACTTATTATAAATGCGACGAAAGTTAAATATAAATGCAACGAAAATAGAGAATAATTTTATTCAGATGCGTCGGCGCGTTTCTGCGTCCACTTAGACGCGCCGTATCGCTTGCGTTAGACTTGACTCGGCGCGTTTCGAAACGTCGTTAGTGGACTGGTGGTGGAGCGACTCTGCAAGGCTAGCGGACTTGACACTTAAACCATCTGTGATGAGGATCACCGGTCGATAGCTACAGCGATTGGGCGTCGATAGTGAGGCAGCGCTGGGCGTATGCCTAATGAATGAGCGATGATCCCACAAATATTAAGAATGGGCATAACCCACCAGGCAACAATCTAGATCAAATTTACTTCAATGACGAGAAGAAAATACTCCTTAACGTAATCGCATGGCTTAGAAAAAATAAGACCGACCATCTTGTGCCTTCCAGGGAGCGCGTTACCTGAGTGGTTGTTTCATTACATCCTATCTGGAAGCTTTTTTTATATGAGGTGCAGCAACCCCGCTCCACCTGATGTTACGTGTATGTGGAGTCCAGTCGCAAAGATAGATAATGCGGCAGGTGTGGCTCTAGCCATCCTCACCTTACCGGTCTGAACACAAGTGGTGTAAATAACATCTATTTCTTTGTACTTTAGTCGAAAAAGATAAGTCTATACATTTTTAGACGATCTGATAATCGCTTATATAAAAGAAATAGACTGCCAAGCTTTCCAACATCCACCTGTATTATTTCCACCAAACGGAATGCATTACATCGGATCGGAACTGCGACACGTGTTCGGAGCCAATGTAATGCTCCTTTCAAATGCCATAGTATCCAATCGAAACCGTCTTCCGTCTCGTTCGCTTGGAGCTGTAGAAGATACCCGCAGTCATGCTGCTGGTGCGAAGCTTGGTAATATACACTTCAAATACTGTGAACTGTACATGATTTAACTACGTGTAAAGATTCTGTTTTTTACCGATGCGATGCTTGCGGTTTGGTGGAAATCATATCCATTTGTATGTTTGGGATTCCCCATCCCCGCTAGTGTAATGGCTCAATCACACTTGGACGTTAGTCCGTATTCGGGTGCACGAAGGACATTACTCGAATTCGGGCACCCTAAGCAATATTCACACTGGAAGACAGGGTCGGGTAACCAAAACGAAAACTGTCCGAATACGGGCGTACTGTACCCCTAGCGCGAACCATTGTCGAATTCAAATAGATAAATTCGATCTATTTAAACGTCAAATATACACTGATTTTCTGGGATATGTGATTGGGCCTGGTGATCTGTAGCACAGGTTTCTATTGCTGAAACCTATTTCAGGCACCAGTTCATCACAAATAGAGGAGCCACAACATTGAAATTGCAAAACAAGAGAAACTATGAATCTCAGTTGTGATGGAAAATAAATATATTTTTGATTTGATTTTTAGTTCTCGTTACGTCCCTTGTGGCGCTGCTGTTTAAGTTTCCATACAAAATTTGCGATTGCGAAATGTCATCATTTCGCATTCGCAAGCTATTCTCTGGAAAACTGGACTCCTTTCATTAAAACTTATGGCCCAATTGCATTTGGTCGCTAGCCCATATTCGGGTGCACGAAAGACATTACTCCAATTCGGGCACCCGAAGCAATAATTACATTGTTTTCGGGTACTGGAACACGGGGAAACAATCCTACACCCACGTTCTAGTTACACGAATACTCGGCGTACTCGGCTCCGTTTATTTACACCTAGTCGTTTGTTCGAATTCCATAGGCACTCCTCGTATTCGGGAATGCAAGCAACATTAGATATCGTGCCACCTAATTGTAAATACTCTCATAGAAAGATTCTTCACATGGCCATTCTTTAACGTTGCGGGTAGGGCTTTCATCCCGGGAGTCTCGGTCTCGAAAATTCCGAGAGTCTCGACGATTTTGTCGTATTTTCGAGACTCGAGACCTCAACTTCAGTTTTCGAGAATTTCGAGACTAAGTAATCTACAAAAAATACCAATCTAAAAAATCTACTGAACTACCATTCTTTTTTTAATTCGGTTACGTGGCAACACTGTAAAGTGAAAGTTAGGATAATCTGTAGAGATTGCAACCTAACCTCAAACACAATACGTTCACAACTTTACTTAATGTTTCTTAAAATGATTTTAATGATATCGCGATTGCGGAGCTCACCAGTTTAAATGCTAAAGATCAGCTAGCGTGTGACCTTGAAAACTTGCCAAATCCTCAAAAAATAGAAAAACAAACTAACATCAATGACTTGCAAACGACTTTGCATGTAGAAAAAGCTCTCTTTGAGAATGGTGGCGACAGAGATAAGCAGTTAAATCAGTGCTATAATTACACTGGTCAAGACTGGTTTTGCCACACGAACTTTGATAGCTAATTTTGTTTTATCAATCTACCCTCATTATTAAATCACAGTTTTCATATGTCAATTAGCCTCATATTTGTTGTGATACGGTAATACTTTTAACTTGTACTACGGCAGTAAATTAACAGGAACGCCTACAAGTAAATCGTTATAAAAATATTTGTCGTTGAATTTGAACACTTTTTGTGATTTATTAACCTTGTGAACATGTCGAGGAGGTGTAATAATGATCCTAACTCTTTTTGTTGTCTGCGGAGAACTTACATTCAAAAAACAACGACGAAATTTTACGAATCTTGTGCTGGAGTGGTATCCCCAATGTTTTGGTTTTTCTGTTGCCCATCAAGACAAACCCTGGGCCCCTTATGTCTGTTGCATAACGGGTGTGAAAAATTTAATTGACTGGAAGTTTGCTGTACCCATGATATGGACTGAACAGCGAGATCACGTTTCAGATTGCTATTTTTGTCTCACTGACGCAAAAGATGTAAATTACAAGAAAAAAAACAGTTATTTCCCCTATAACTTATCTGCTATATTGCATATCAAATTAGGATTAATAAAAAAATGTGAAGGCAATGGATCGCAATGGGAGTGGATTTTTGTATCTAAAACAAAAATTCCCTAAAAGAAGTGATGCAAAGATAAAAGAGGGTATATTTGTTGGCCCTCAAATTAGGGAGTTTATAAAAGATTGAAGATTTGAAGAAAAATAAAGCGATTTAGAAAAATCTGAATGGAAGACTTTTAAAAATATTGTTCCAAATTTTTTGGGTAACCACAAGAGTGACAGCTACAGAGAGTTGGTTAGCGAGCTATTATTGTCATATCAAGCATTGGGTTGCAACATGTCACTTACAATCCATTTTTTAGACACGCACCTGGATTTATTTCTTGACAATTTAGGGGCTGTCAGCGACGAGCACGGTGAGAGGTTCCATCAGGACATTGCTAATATTATAAAGCGGTTCCAGGGCAAATGGAGCCCAAAAATGTTAGCTGATTACTGCTGGACAATTAAAACTAAATATTCAAGAAAATCTTAGATTATTAAGTCATTTATAAAAAAAAAACAACTTTGGTTTACGAGATCTGTGTTTTTCCTAAATATTTTAAATTACTCATTAGAATAAAATCCTCGTCTAGCAAATTTTTTTAACGGTTTATTTTTTCTTACAATCACCAATTAAAGTAAAAAATATCAAAAAAGTCCGTGTGGCACGACAAAGTTAAAATTTTGTTGGTCAGTATTATTTGTTATCCATCCTATTATATTTATTGTTATGTTATACTAGCGTCGAAGCAGAGAGAGCTTTTTCTAATGCAGGTTACTTTTGCAACAAGATCAGATGCTCTCTATCTGAAAACACTTTGAATGCCCTTTGCTTTCTGCGTGCCTATAATAAAAATGAAAAATGATATTTTTTCTTATATTTGATTATATTGTAATAGTTGATTATCAAAGTACTTAATTGAAACATATTGTTGAATTCATTGCCTAATTGTATAAACCTTGAGTATGAACTTATTTTCAAAGTCTCGAAAGTCTCGTTTTTCCCGAGAATCCCGGGACCGGTCCGAGTCTCGATTTTTTTTCCCGGGACTCGAAAATGTATCGAGACTGAAAGCCTTAGTTGGGGGCATAGGTATTCCATAGCGTATCGTCGCGTTTTACAGTGTTTTTGCGGCTACGCGGCGATATCGTAGCGAGTCGTTTATACGGTGACGGAAAATTCTTTGTCTTGAGCAGGTTACCCTACTTTAGAAGCACGGGTTCGTTGCGATTCTCTCGCTTTTGGGGTGCTTAAGGTCCAGTTTTTACTTTTGTACCATTGTAGCAATATTTTTATTTACCTGCAGTTTTGCTGCAATTCGCCCGCGTAGGGTTCAATTATGGCCATAGAGCAACGCGTCAGGAGGGGAGTAGGCATTCACAGCGTTCCCCTCTGTCGACTTTCCCCTGCTGTTGGTTCCGAACACCTATTTTGAAGTTGAATGTCAGGCCTGTCGTGGAAACAGTTTGCTACTTTGAGCTGAGTCCCTAAGCTACTTTTCCCATGCTTTCCCTTTTTCTAAAATAGTGTATGTCTTTGTTTTTTTTTACATTAAATAAGCTTACGCTTGACGGCCACGCGCCTAATAAAGAACTACGTAGCAGCCTAAGGTGGGACGCGCATGCCTAGAAGAAATGATGTATGTATTCTGATAGTAGGCCTGCTCGCAGTCAGTAGTGTCTGTAAACACAACTGAAGGCAGTAGATAGGTATCGCGTTGACATTTATCAATTTATTCGAATCACGATGAAATGTCGGCTTGCTCGTCTTGAGTTAAGCGCCATTTACATAATGCAATTTTCTTATTTCTCAAGAGCAATAATTGCATACAATTAATGAAGCGCAATAATTGACTTTTAAGAACTGTAAGCAACTTTTTACACGCTGACATAGTAAAAAGGTTGCATAAAATTATTGAATGCCAGTTTTGACAAAAATAAATTGCGAATATCTTTCGTTTACACCAATACAATCATTTTATAGAGATTATTATTGTTTCCATAAAAGGTTAGAGATTCCATGGGCACTGGTTCCGGTACTAATAATATTTAGAAGTCCAAACTTTCGTGATATAATTTAATAGATTCTTGTTTGCGACGTTTTCTCAATATTTCTTGGCTCAGAAGTGCAGCAACGATTAACAAACCACTCATGTTTGCAAATTATCAGTTGAATACAAAGTGCTCAAAAATATGTATTGTATGTAATATGTAAACTTGCATACCATATCAAGAATGTTATGTGCTGTTTAGACCATGCAAGTCGTAGCTTCAATTTAATTTTATACAACAGGCAAGAAACTTGCATCGCGTAAATGGCGATTTAGAAAGCCAGACGCTAAGTTAATAATTTTCATTGCAGGTTACAGATATGCAAACAGTAGTTTTAACACCTGATGCGATAGATCTTTTTCAATCGCCCACTTTGTTCAACCATATGCGACGTTTAGCTAAAGAACGAGACCATTATCTACAAAATTGGGCTTCATTAGTTCTCAATGATGATTTATGCGAGAATGATACCGAGAATAAAAATGCTAAAAGTCGCTCCACACAAAACGTCAACCAAAACAACAGTGACAGTCAACATCTAGCTGTGGAATTAGCCGATTGGAAAGCTCGACTACGAAAACAGAGACAAGAACTGTGAGTGTAGTTTTAGGTATACCTTGATTATATTAAGTTATCAGTAATAGTATTTTTTTTTTAATGATTGTACAGGGAAGAAAAGTCTGAGCAATTATCCGAATGCCGGGAAGAATTAGAGCATACTAAATTGGTATTGGCTAAATTACGGTCTGATAGCCAAGAATGGTTCAATGAAGCACGAAAGGCTGCAGCTTACAGGGATGAAGTTGATGCTCTAAGGGAAAAAGCCGATCGCTGCGATAGGTATGAGATGCTCAATATTTTAAGAATTTTTCCTATACCTATTTATACTTCTTTGTAAAAAAACTTTCAGTGAAATATTGCAATTGTTTTTTTTAATCTTATATAAACTTTTTACATTACTAGGTCGTAATTTGTTAATATTTTTAAGGCTCGAACAAGAAATACAAAGGTATAGGGATCGATTAGCTGATGCAGAGTACTATAAAACTCGAGTTACGGAACTAAGAGAAGACAATAAAGCTTTAATGGAAACGAGAGATGCCTTAGAAGAACAACTGCAAAGAGCCCGCAAAAGAGCTGAACAATGTTTAACATTAGAGGCAGCTATGATTAAACTTAAAAGAGAGGCTAATGATATAGCATTGGTTAATATTTATTATTTAAATAAATATCATATATTTAAGCTAATACTGCTCCTAAGTTATATTGTATGTTTCAGGAAAGAGATGCTGATCAGCAGAAGATCCAAGAACTTATAGAAGAAAATAATCATTTACAGTATATTACAAAGTCAGTGTTAAGCGAGAGTAATAATAGTAACTTAGATAGTGATAATGAATGTGAAAGTACATTAGAATCAGGAGAAAATAGTTTGTCGGAGCAGCTAACCAGTAATGCACAAGCAAGGGCTTTAAAACTAGAGTTAGAAAATAAACGTTTATTGTCAACTATTGATAGTTTGAGAGAACAGTCATTGCTAGAAAGTGGAGAAAAGTTGCTAGAGTTAGAAAAAGAAAAAAAGAAATTAAGTTTGAAATGTGAGCAGTTACAAGAAAATTGTAATAGGCTTGTACAACAAAACTCAGACTTAGAAGAGGTGTTTAAAAACGCTCTTGAAGAAAATAGAAAACTACAAGATTCGTTGGATAGCCAAAAAAATTATATTGATAAACAAGCTATCGATAGAGATTCAGAAAAAAACAAATTACAAGATTTTGAAAAACACCTAGAATCTCTTACCAAAGACAAGCAACGTATTCAAATGCTTTGCGACTCTATACAAAGAAGAGCAGATGATTTAGAAAAGGTATTGGACGCCAGAACAAAAGAATTGAATGTTGTTAAACCAGAAGCAGATAAAGTTACAGGACTTATTATACAATCTGAAGAACTCAAAACAAAGTTGACGTACAGTGAAAAAGAATCGCACAATCTTCAAAGAGAAGTTAACAAATTAAGAGAAGCTATTGAAGAAAAAGATGTATCCATTGATAAATTTACAACGGAAATTGAATTAAAAAAGAAAGAACTCGAGAGGTCAGTTAAAGAGCTAGAAATTAATCAAGTTACTATTAACAAATACCAAGATTTAGAACAAAAAGCTCAAGAGTTAAAATTACAAAAGAAAATGGATTCGGAAACTATTCAAACTTTACAAAAAGATTTGATAAGGGAGAAAGTAAGTTTTGACAAAGTAAGAAATTGTCTAGAGAAACTTGGTATACATGTCTCTGAAATAATTAACAAAGACATTAATGTGGAAGATTTATTAGAGAAAATAATAACAAATTCTGACCATGAAAGCGTTATATCTGATATTGCTGCTAAAGCTAATTTAATGGCACTAGTACCATGTCATTGTCGTGAAAAACAAAACATAGAAGTTATAAATGAAAACTTGAGTCACCCACAAATAGAGCAGTTAACTGCAGATCTATCTGCGTTGCAAGCTAGTTTAGAAAATTGTCACGCTGAAAACGCGAAACTACAAGTTAATGTGGCAACATTAAATTCACAAAATGGTTCGTTAATTTCCCAACAGATGACATTACAGCTAGCTAACAGTCAACTGGCTGCAGAGAAGGAAGAAATTATTAAACAACTGGAAGTTTTAAAAGATAAGCAAGACAATTTACTGAGGGATCAAGTAGCTCTACAAACGTTACATGAACAATTAAACACAGAATATGAATTGCTACTTAGTGAAAGAGAACCAGTGAAGGCTACAATTCGAGACCTAAAATTAGAAAATAGAGAATTAAAGGAAAGGCTCGACAGTTATGAGAAGAGGATTTCAGAATTTGAGTTAGAAAGAGAAAACTTAAAAATTGAATCTAGAAATTTAATAAATCTTAGAGCGGAGCACTCTAAACTAAAAGATGATTTTAGAAATCTCTTTACGGCTAGTGACAGGCTTAAAAATGAGTACAGAAATATGCAAGAAGAATATCGAAATTTAAGAAGTGAAGTTACTCAGCTCAAATTGAGAAACACTGAAATGTCAGGTGAAATAAATACAAAAATTGAGATTATTACAGGCATGGAATTAGAGATTAATAAAACAAATCAACATTGTGAAATGCTAGTTCACATGAATAAAAGTTTGGATGCTGACCGGCGATCTTTAATGGACCATGTTTCTCAATTATTGACTCAGTACCACGAATTATTAGCACATTCACTCAAAGATAAGCAACATTATCATGAAGAAGAAAAAATGTTTGCCGACAGGGTAAACGCTTTATGTAGGCAGAAGGAAAAACTGGAAGAAAAGATAATGGAACATTATAAAAAACTGGATAATTGTACCCCGAAAAGACGTGGTTTTGGAGCTTCATTTGTCAAAAAAGTTCGTAAAGCTGGTAATGATTTGATAAATAAGACTTCTAGGAATAATAAGAGAATGGAGGATGCGAGTCGATCAAAATCTCAACTTACACTCGCGGGCTCTGAATCGGGAGAATCTGACCAAGGCAGTCAGGACATGGAAAAAAATACAAAAATATCAGAGCAAGATCAAGGATTATCAAACCCTAGTGTAGAATCACCGAGACATAGTTCAGACTCGAGTTATAGTAGAAGATTTGAAGAAAAGCTTTTAAAAAAATCAGACAATGTTGAATTGACTGGATCAATTCCTAGTTTAGACTCATCAAGATTAACCGGCGAGGGAAACTTTGTTCGTAGATTGTCTACAGCGTCTATGCATAGTGGTGGTGGGGATGATGCTCTTATCAGAGCTTCTTTAAGAAGAAGAGCTCATAAAGCGGTACCATCATCACATAGAAACAGTTACCAAGGCTTAGAAGGTGACTCGGGCTTGCCCACTGCAGGTGATTTATTGTTTAGACAATTTTATTTGTTGTTTTTTATAGTCATACATTTAATCATAATATCTTTTTTAGCGTCCTCAGCTTCTTCTCCTGTGTTCGGTACAGCCGGTAGTCGCCGCACCGTTTACGTAGCAGATGATAATCCTGATGTTACTCTTAACGCAAAGCCGCAAAGTACACCAATAAAAGAAAACCCTACTTACTTGGTTTACAACAGAATATCAACAGTAATTGGTGATGGGGCTTGCCAAAGTATAAATGACAGACCAACTAGCGAACTGAACCAATCTGTTTCGGAAATACATCGTTCGACGACTGACGATGGATTGCAAGATCGGGAAGATAGCAGACATGACAGAAGAACTGTAAGTCGTAATGAGAAACCTGACAACTCGAAAGAGTCTGCAATTTGGTATGAGTATGGATGTGTCTAATGAAATGGTATGAAAGATTGACCAATATTTCATTAACAGACTGATGAGATGCCTTGATTTTTTTATTGTTTACATTTTATTAATATTAATGTGATTGGATTCTGATAATTGTCAAAAACATAACTCAGATTGTGATTGTGATGAAATATTTGTAATAAGAAATGACAGTATTAAAATGGCATTTAATTTTAATTTTTCTTGAAATTGACTTTTTAGTTTTTCTTATAGATTTCATAGCTTTAATCCAAATGTTCCATATAGTATGGCTGAATAAAGCGCAAAGCGATGAAGGAAAAACGTGTTAATATTTACTAATTTCTGATAAGATGAAATTAGCTGGGCGCCTGGCGACTTGCATTTTTCCGATGTCAGCGACTGCGACCAACGCGATCGTTACACGAAATTTTATATTGAGCAGTGGTTGTGATCTAGTGTTAAATGAATGCCAAATAGTTTTTTTATATTTCATGAAAATTAACGCTATGTCAATTCGAAGAATGAAAGGGTCTTGAAAATAACGTATATTTAAATAAAACTCTTAAAAATGCCCTTTTTTGACGTTCAATTTGGAAGAATTATCAATCAGGCACTGCTAATGGAGGATATATACAACCACGCCCTCCTTGTGTGCAAACCTCATGGCTATTAAGCAATTTGAAACTATTGCGAGTGGTTGTAAATAAACTGTGTGAACGAGACGAGAATGGCAGTCGCTGACATCGTAATTGAAACTTTACGTCTATTAACTGCGGGTATTTGTAATATGTAATTGAAATCAATACTCGAAATTAGTTTTGAGGCTTTTTATGTGTAAATAATAATTTTAATTTTTGACATATTACTTTTTTTTATTGTTTATACTATTAACCATAGCCTCTTGCCAGTGAGTCTGTGAATAAGCAACGTATTACAAGACGGAGCATTATAAATTTATTATTATATTGGAAAATATGAGCATAATTTGTATTATGTACAAATATAATTGTAATATTTTTTTTACGTCTATTTATATTTTCTCATTTTTAAGAATGAATTTTAGTTTAGTACAAAATAATGTATATTATTCAATTTATGATTAATTTTTACTTTTATTAACTAATCATTCATTAATTTAGATTATATTTTATTAGGCATCGGAATGCATAGTTGGTTGTTATTATTTTTTTTGACAATTTATTCGAGTGAATTATTACATACAACAGTCAACACAAAAATATTCAGTATGACCACAGGGGTTGTAACGTAACATTATTGAAATTATATCTAGATAAGATACTCGTCTTTGGCCAAGGGTCTGACCCATGATATTATTTTTTTATATTTATGATTCAGAAAACTGTACTTAATTCTTTAATAACAGTAATAGCCGTTAAATCAGGAACGCCCAAATAATTTAATGCATAATCAAGACACCTCTTGTCTCGTTCTATTGTTATCGCTAAGAAAATGACAGCATTAACTTTAGTCAATCTTAAATGTTTATTGACTTTCCGAGCGCGGCAAATAGTATATAAGTAATGATTAGAAGTGTCCACTCTGATCATGACAAGACCTTATATGTATCTTAAAGTGCGAATCGAACTTTATGACGGTTGTGAAGTTAGCTACGAGTGCCCCTATACGCAGGGCTCCGTTCAAAACCTACGATCTGAGTGCATATTTTTACCCTGAGTTTCAATTTTGTTATGAAATGTATGGTGGTTTTCCAATTACAGAGCATAATGCGACTCAGTGGCGCACAATGCCGAATTATGCTGATGCTTAATTGGAACGTCAATTAGTTTTCAAATGCACCAGCAGAGTGCGCTAAGTTCAGTGTTGAAAAAAAAGTCAATGTTTGTACCTTCATCCATATTTATATTTAATTTTTTAACACAGTTTGAATTAACTTTGATTATTTAAAAAAAAACTATAATGAAACGAAAGTTTTAATAATTTTTCAACAATAAATAATATTACTAATGATAAAATATAAATAAAACATTTCGATCAATGCCAACTTAAAGAAAAAACACTTGTTTATTTTCTGTTTCTGAGTTGGTACGATTGCACGCATCACACGAAAGCATTACTGTGGTATTACTTTCGAGTGCTCGATTGTGCGAAGCGTTGCTGTAGTTGAAACACTCAACGTTAATCATTATGCCGCATAATGCTGTAATTGGAAAGCTACCTATGTAACTGAAGTAAATTTTGACATTTGTTGCACCTGGAGCTTAGGCTTAGAAAGCAACCCAGATTTAGTTAAATAACACCCCGAACGTGCTAACACCATCCTACATTTGATTTTCTGCGCCATAATTTTAGCAAACTCCACAAACGCCATTATTTCAAATCGTGTACTCTTATATTGCCCACCATACTTTGACAGAGTACTAAACCGTTTTCACTGAGATATAAGCCTTTTTTACATTTACGAAAGTCATCAAGTTTCATCGTTTTAAAATTTGGTGTGACTGAAATGTATTCGATAAATTCTATTGTTTATGAGGCTAAAGATTATAATATTTAAACCAGAATCCCACCTTGCGCTTGCCATTATGATATGAAAGTTCAGTTCAGGACGTGTTAATCCTGACAAGAACTTCGTGTGACGACTAAGGCCGTCGCACACGGCTAAAGATACTATAATATTTTTATGTTCAGTATCTAAATTTATTGTAGCTTAAGATACTGCATGTCAATTGTTATATTTTTATCAGTTAAATCTGCTGGATGTTAAAATCTAAAGAAATTTTACTAGAAAGAAATCCACTCGGTCTACAGGTTGCAGACGGGATTCGAAACAGCTTCCATCCGGCGTAATTAGAATCCCGTCTGAAACCTGTAGGCCTATTTGCTAACTGCATTTGACAAATTGAAGTGATAATCACCAAGCTATTTAGTGATCCACTACTGCTTTATTGTAACGCCACTAAGATACTTGTTCTAAAAAGCATCGATGGATAAGCAATTTTCTCTTTAGTTACATCGGCGCCGCGTGTGACGCTCCTGAAATTTGTGCAAGCAAGTGTCGTTACGAATTATTATTTGAGCTATTAGAGTAAACTTTCTTAGAATTACGTAAATGTAAAATCGGCTTAAATATAAGGAATTAATTACACTACTAACTATTTCGTGTTTAGATCGGTATACATGAGAAGAGACAGCTAAAACATTCAAGCAATGTAATGTATATGTTATCTACTAATACCATAGCTTTAGATTTGTCCCGTATACGTAGGTATGTATTGACAAAGAACACAAAATCAAAAAGAAGTTTATTTTGTATTTTTTATTATGTTCGATGCAATTCAACGTTTGCACTAATATTTTATTCATTCCAATTTATCATTCTACAAAAACACTTTCATTGATGGGTTCTAAGGAAATGGTGCTTAAAAGATATTTATATCTTATAGATGGTTAGGTTCTCCATTTTTGTTCACAGTACGATGTTTATGGCAAATGAGATCAATGTTAAGGTGTCCTAATTTATCTTGTATTTAATGATAGCCTCTCACCGAATTTATATCCTAGCACAATATGACGTAAATACAGGACTTTTATATAAATAAAACTACAACAACTACTTTTTAGTTTTACTTGAGTGTGATTACTTTACTTTCTAGTTGTACTTGAATGCGATTATTACAGGGGATCTACTATAACATATCCGGATGGTAAATAATAAATTAACTTTTTATAAAAATTTGACTAATGTAGGTATCTGTGATTTCAGTAACAATCATATGGTATCAACGAGGGAGTTCTTTTTTGTCCCATTAAATGTAACCACTTGCTGATCACCGTAGTAAGGTTAGGAATATTTTTCCTACAATAATTAATCAGTGTGACTGGTTATTGTGGGCGTCACATACATAGGTTACTGATATATAAGAAATTATTGTAATCATGGTTATCTAATCAAAGAATGATTTTCTTTTTTCCTTTCGCACACAATATTGCGTTTATATTGCTGCCCGTATATAAATACCTATACTAGATATGCCATGCCCCTTCAATTTCACCATCATATTGTAAGGGTAGCTTCACACATAATCGGGTCGGAATTAAAAGGCGCAGCCGTGCGGTAAAATCGAATATAAAATGTAGATGAATGTTCGGCAGTAATTACTACAGGTCGGCTTTGTTGTTCGAAAAATACTGTCGAACCGACTATGTGGGTAGCTACCCTTATATACGAGTATAATAAGATCATAAAATTCAAGACAAAGGTTCAATGTTATATTTCATCTCATATAGGGGCATATTAACCCTAGGACCAAGAATAAGGGTGACAACAGGAGTTGCGAAGGGCGGCAGCTCTAAATAGGAAATACTTCAGATTCTAAAATACACCCCTGAACATACCTATTACTTAAATCAACTACCTATGACTTTAAACATTAATTTCAAACTAAAACTACTAATTATTATTATTGATCATAAATAATCAAAGAGATCCATTACAATTTGAGTCAGTCTTTACTTCCCAGTGAATTACGGGGCACGGTAGAATGGGAACTTTGAATGGAGTTCCGGAGACAACAGCTTTCTGTCCTGGTTCCACTTTTGCAGGTAGGTATGATAAAACACACTGAAATAAATACAATTCATTAAATAACATTATAATTTAAAAAACAAAATGCCTTATTATTAATCACAAAATAAAAAAGCGTCGGTAGCAGTAACTGACGAAACAGCCGCCTGCACACTTCAATCTCAGAAGTACCGACGAAACATCAAGGAATGTCTTTGTTGGAGGCAAATAGCCACCAAGCCATTAGCGGCTGCGATTGATGGCTGTGTCTAGTGGCTTGACTGAGCCACTAGTGACCGTGTTTAGTGGCTCAATGTGGTGGCGGTCTAAGCTCCCACACATAACAGTGAATTCGCAAATTGCACCGCAAGAAATTCCGATCTGATTCGCATCACGCATTCCCGTGATATTATTACGTCACACTTGGCGACACCATTTTAGCGCGTTCTGAGACTTCCCTTGCACGATCGTTTTTGTTGACATGGTCATAAAAAAGGAAAAAGCTCTTCAAATGAAGATATGCACATTATATACAAAATATGAATAAAAAATCTTTTGTTCTCAAACCATGGTATTTTCGACAAAAATAGTTACTAGCAGCTTTCATAATCGTATTTAAATTGATGAACCCATAATCTTCTTTTTCTTCTATATCTATTTAACAATAACAGCACTGCAACAATCATTTTGCGATCCATGTCACTCTAAAACACGTCTAATACGGCTGACTACCGCTGCTGTTACGGTCACCTTAACCAAAACTGCCACACGAAATCATATCGCAGTTTTGTGTGGGAGCCCGTTTAGCTCGAATAAGTATATGAATCTGCGCTTTTGTGTGTGCTTATTCGTATTAACTTTATCGTCGTCTTAGGGCATAAATCTGCTGAATCCATTTTTACTGAATTTACGTTTTACCTCCCATTCGAAAGAGAAAAAAAGACAGACGTTATGGGAAAACAGCTTTATCAAATATATAATCCATGAATTTTAATGTGTGTACAAAAAGTGCACAGCTAATTCCACCGTAACCGCCGCGCCATTTGGTAACGACTAACGCTTGGGTCAGGTGCTCATGAAAAAATTCAAATAATTGGGTGATTTTGGAGTAAATGTAGATTTCCATTTCTGTTTGGGCGGAAAGGGAAAATAGTTTTCGAATGGCGACCACGCACCGAACGACATTCAGAGGGTAGGCTAGATTCCTCGACTCGGACCGATGATCTGAACTAGCGGGAAGTCTATCAAGTGGCGCAGGACCGATCGGTGTGGAGATCCTTGGGGGTGGCCTATGCTCAACAAACAATAGGCGTCGCGCGGCTAATATGATGATGATATATCAACCGAAGGGAAACCCAACAAACTACCTACCGGCAGGTAGTCAGTATATGTTTAATAGTTTTCCTGTTATCTATAACTAACTCCACGCGTACGAAGTCGCGGGCGGCCGCTAGTTTATTATAAAACTATGTATTAGCAAAAGTTAAAAGAGACTTAAGAATCTCGCTCATTTGAATATAAAGTAATGAAAATGCTTTATTGTTAATTTATTTTAATTAAGATTTTGTTCATTATAAGATTTTTTTAAAGTAAAATATTATTTTATTTAGTAGAAAAAGTTAATATTTCTTTCTGACGATAAATATATATGAATAATAAAAGAACCAACTTATTGCAATCTTCATCGGAATTATAATTTTGATTTTGGCGTAAAACTGCTAAATCCCTCATAAGAAAATATGGTTGTTTACAAAAACCGCTAAGTCACAAGAGTGTCCATAAAACAATATATGTATTGCATTTATTAATCTCTTATCTTTTAGACAAGTCCGTCCGTCCGTCTGTGGTGCTGTTTCAGCGGCCAAACCGTAAGAGATAGATAAAGAGAATGTTTAAGTTATAAGTTAAGTCTGAAGACTACAAACCGGATTTGAGTAACGTAGCACTTCCGGTTTTCGAGAAATCACGAATTTCAAACGAAACCACACAAAATCTCCGAAGTTCTCAAAATTTTTTTTTTTTTTGGTGAACATTTGGTTCACTGGTTTGCTAGTTTTAAATTAATTTGCAAAAAAAGTAAAATAATAAAAATACTAATCTAAGCAGTGCTGGGGGTTAGAGTGAGAGAGGAGGAGCCTGCCTACCACTGCCTTATGCATGAGAGGAAGGGAAGCCAGACAGACTGGCGCCGTAATGCGTTATGTAACGAAACGGTACCCTCCCATAAGAAGTTATCACTTCGAAAAGCAACAAGCATATTTTTGTCCTTTCTCAATTTTTTTTTTCTGAATTTTGTTTCTCCTGTAAACTTGCCTAATACGCAGTTAGCAGGTTAACACCCTGCTGCTGCTGACCGCTGACATTATTTAATTTGGAAACCGTTAGATTTTACTATATCAGTCTTTGTTTTTATTATACAGAGTTTACTAACTAGGTACTTTGAATCTATAGGCTATTATTAACTATAGGTAGACCGCTTAACTGAGTGCTCACCTGGAGGAGGTGTGTATGGAGGAGGGCGAAAACGGGGACTGTGATACGTGTGGGCAGCAGGCACATTCTTGTAAAAATTACAACTGCCCACCGCCCGCACCTCTCACAACCCCCGTTCTCGTTCTCCCCGACACGCGAGGTCTCAGTTAAGCAGTTTAATTACAGAATAAACTGTCTAACTAAAGAGTCTATTGTTAAAGAAAATTAAATAACTTCTTTTGATAAATGATCCCTGATCTTATAAGTATGTGCATTAACATGTGTATATTGGTACCTTTGGTCTTTCATTTTCTGTAGACATGTATCCTATACACATGGTCTTAGTTGTATGGCCCCAAAGAAGTTCACCTTCACCATTGCCTGGATCAAATCGCAATCCTAGTGTTCCACCGAGTCTCTCATTAACATCCCACAGAAATGGTGAGTCTAAAAATTTTTCCTTTAAACATTTATCCAGTCCTAGAGTAGGTGAAGAGTCTAATAAGCTTTCAGCAGAGTTCTTTGCTAATTGTGTTCTAATTAAATGCTCTCCACAGCCTGATGTGCATGATGCTACTGAAGGTTGTTTACCATCTCTACTCATTACAGCCCATACTCCACTACCAAATGAAGCTGCTTGGCCTACTCTTCCTTCATGTTTTAATGATACACCACCTGAACTGGCTCCTGATGCAACAACTCCACTGGAATCAACACATACAGCACCTACTGTATCTAATGGGCTAAATTTTGTATCATTTTGCAGTGAATATCGTTTTAGCTTTCTTTTGCTGTGTTTATAATTACGAAATGCACGTGCTGAAATCATTTTTTTTTCATCCACAATTTCCAATCCCATCCTTTCAGCCCAAGATCGTGCTCCCTGCCCTGTAAGTATACAGGGTGGAACCCGACCCAATGAAAGATTTTCACATTGCTTCATACAGAGATGTTTGGCTAAGCTAATTGGGTTCCAAACATTAGAGACTGCACCACAAGCTCCAAAGTGTAAAGTTTGTCCATTCATGATGGAAGCATCACACTCCACAGTTCCATCCCAGCTTAAATTAGATCCATAGCCTGCATTAGTCAGTGGGCTGTTTTCCAACTCTGCCAAAAAAAAAAGTTGAACAAATCAAGAATTTGATAGACCAACCTTTGAAATTACTGGTCTATTTATACAAAAAAATTATGAATTTATACTATGAATAAGCGAGAGAATGAAGAAGAAGATGAAGAGCTTGAGATAGTAACTTTTTGGTCACACATCCAATGACCGACCACTGCGAAAGTTGTCAACGATTGCAGCCAAACACACTAACCACAAAAATATTTGATTACCATTGCATACTTATATGACTATTAAACAATGATTAATTTTACTTTAGGAAGTAGCCCATTGACAATTATTAGAGTTTACTCCCATGAAATGAACTGAAATTGTGTAACTAATCGAAACAATACCAACCTATTATTGCTCTCTCTACAGCCTCGACGGCATTACTTCCATTTTTCAAAGCCTCTATTGCTTTTCGACAAGCCAAATTACAGGTTCGTTGATATTCTTTTTTAAGTGCTTCACTGTGATAACCAGCACCTGATAATACATTTATGAAAACATTGTCTCCCAAAAAAAAGTAATTCATTCAATTTTAATTTATAAAGCAAATGAATTATTCTTACCACAATGTACAGCTACGAAGCCATTCATAATTTTAGCTCTTCAATTATATCACTGAAGACTTTAGGTCGTAAGATGAGTGAGATATAAAAAAAATTCCTCAAGCCGCTGAGCAAATAATCACAACATGTTTTTTTTTAATACTCAGTGTTACCAGAAAGCTATTTCATCTTCCCCCCAAACTTACCCGAAATCCCCCCACAATACATGTATTAGAAAAAAACGAGCGAGTCTTACAATAGTTGCGTATGATGTGTAACATTTGAAACTACACCTTATATTAGTAAAAAAAGAAATAAAACCTACTACAATATATATAGTGGAATAATAACTGGAATGCTTACGCGACCGTCAAAATCGTTCCAAAGAGCAAAGCTGAATTGGTGGAGTGTGTCTCGATCTAGTAGAGTGCCCTAACAGCAGTGTTGCCAGTACCAACGTCGTGTTTCGGACGATTCGAAACTGAAAAGGGACGATTTTTAGTAAAAAAGGACGGACATTTGACAGCAGTGCATCCTTGTCATTCTCTATGCAGAATGACAAGGGATACTGATGTTAAATTTAGTTTTAAGTTTAGAGAATCACGCCAGAATCGACACCAATGTACAACGAATTGTGATGGCAATTTAGTAAAATAAATCAATGAGTGAAACGAAACGTATTCGTCTAATATTACAGTGAAGTGTTATCGAAAACCGACGGAAAAGGGACGGAATATGTAAAAGGACATCGATGGGACGTTTTGATGACAAAAGGGACGAAAATCGTCCCTTTTGGGACGTTCTGGCACCACTGCCTAACAGTTACTTCATTGGCGAATGCTACACGCTCGATATGTATCGCGATATTTAACGTGATATTTGTCTAGTAATATTTTTTTATACTACAAACACGATACGAATCACGTTAGTACGACAGTAAATTTCATTGAGTACACTCGTAAGTTTTGTATTACAATATAAATAAAGCTATGAGTGATAATATGAAATACCCAAGTCTTCGGATTGTACATAGGGTTAAACACTTTTTTTCTATCAAATATAGTATTTTCGAAGCTGTTACCTCTAAAATATAGTAGAAGGCAAAAAAAAAAAAAAAATGGTTGCCTGTAAAGTCGGTTTTACGGGCGAAGATTTTACGTGACAACGTCTTTTTCTCGGTAGAATATTTATTGATATGAATATAATTAAATTGCACAATAGGAACAAGGAATTGAATGAAAATAAGAATTGCACAAATTTTAACTATAGAAATATATTTTGTTTACTAAAACATTGTACATGTAAACTTAACACGAGAGACTCATCGTAACGTTACCGAGCGTTACACTTTTTCATAAGTGACTCCCAGCCGCAACCTAATTTAAGACGTTGTCACGTCAAAATGGAACAACATGTAGTATGTGTTTAAAATATTTACTTTATTTTTAAAATGAGTATATTTTTTGCTGCTCTATACCTTAATAATATAGTTTTTGACGTGACAACGTCTTAAATTAGGTTGCGGCTGGGAGTCACTTATGAAAAAGTGTAACGCTCGATAACGTTACGATGAGTCTCTCGTGTTAAGTTTAAGTTTACATGTACAATGTTTTAGTAAACAAAATATATTTCTATAGTTAAAATTTGTGCAATTCTTATTTTCATTCAATTCCTTGTTCCTATTGTGCAATTTAATTATATTCATATCAATAAATATTCTACCGAGAAAAAGACGTTGTCACGTAAAATCTTCGCCCGTAAAACCGACTTTACAGGCAACCATTTTTTATTTGTAAGAAAGCTTTTATTGGCAAAAGCCTGCTTTAAGCAAAATATAGTAGTTTCGCCTACTTTATATTTTTTTGGAATATAGTATTTCATCCCCTAATATGGTAGGATACTATATTATATAGTAGAGTTGGCAACCCTCATTGTACACATTTTCCGTAGAAGCACCAGATCGTTTCGAATCGGTTCTTTTTTTTCGAATCGGTTATTTCTTTCCTATAATTAGATTTTCATGAGTTTATCTTCGCAATGGCATCTTTGGTAGTCGCGCCAGGTTTATTTTTTTTTAATCTCAAATAGTTGCTCATAGGCATTCGCCCTTTTCACTTTATTTACACTGTCGGCACTTGAGCTGTCCCATACCTCTGGTAGTGTTTAACACTAGTATGAATTCTTTCAAGTGCTTTTGGTTGTTTGTATGAGATACGGCGGGCGCCGCCGCGGCCGCCTCAGTATGCGCGTCTTCTTCTATGGCGAATGCTACACGCTCGATATTAAACGTGATATTTATCTAGTAATATTTTCTTATACTACACACACGATAAGAATCACGTCAGTACGACAGTAAATTTCATTGAGTACACTCGTTAACAACTTTATTTCTATCAAATATAGTATTTTCGAAGCTGTTACCTCTAAAATATAGTAGAAGGCAAAAAAATGGAAAAACATGTAGTATGTGTTTAATATATTTACTTTATTTTTAAAATGAGTATATTTTTTGCTGCTCTATCTATACCTTAGGTAATAATAGTTTTTATTTTTAAGAAAGCTTTTATTGGCAAAAGCCTGCTTTAAGCAAAATATAGTAGTTTCACCTACTTTATATTTTTTTAGGAATATAGTATTTGATCCCCTAATATAGTAGGCTACTATATTATATAGTAGAGTTGGCATCCCTAATTGTACACATTTTCCGTAGAAGCACCAGATCGCTTCGAATCGGTTATTTTTTTAATTCTTTCTTATTTAATTCGATTTTAATGAGTTTATCTTCGCAATGACATCTTTGGTAGTCGCGCTCCGCCGCCTCAATATGCGCTTCCTCTTCCATCGCTGACAAAATTAATACTGACGCAATAAATATCGATTATAGTATAGACGCTCGATATTTATCAACGATACTTGATACAAATCGTGGATTTTTGGATTTCTAGAAAACCACCGATCCGTACCACGATATGTGTTACTCTATACTACAGACTCGATAAATATCGTGATCCTAGATTACGATCCAAATATCACGATAAATATCGAGCGTGTAGCATTCGCCATTGGTGAGACAATAAATTTTCTTTGAGTGAAGGAACCTTCTATTTTTCAGCTTGAAAGTCCAAAAAAATATTAAATCTTTAAAAGACCTTCCGAGCTTATTAAATTGCATCTGTTTTTTATCCAACATTGAACACGATTAACGGTTCTCAAATTTTAATTTGTCAAACGATACGTTTTTCAATAATTCTTATGTATACTTTAGATACACCTACCAAAGCTGGGAACCGTTAATGAAATAGTTAACTTCGTTAATCGTTAATCCGTGACTTAAAAAATTAACTTCGTTAAACGTTACATTTCGGAAGATTTAATGCAAGTTAACGTAATCGTTAATCCGTTAACACTTGCTAAAAATTTAATTTTTTACATCGTTGCGTTAGTGATCTACTTACAAATACTGTTGTTTTGGGTTCTGGAAGTTAATAGGTTAGGTTCAACAAAGACAGTGTATAGATATATAAAAAAATCGAAGTGTGTAATTTTTTCGCCAGGTAAGTATCTGCTCTCCCGATCTAGATACAAACCTAATATAGCCACTTAAATGTGGCCACGGATTTTCGTTCGTAGAGGAACTGGACGAATCCGTGATACTTATGGTTATAATTTCCTTAGTTAGTACTTACACAAAATCCAAAAGTACGTAATATTTGTATACTTTACTAAAAACAACCAAAACATTCCTCACTCGTAAGCGTCTCGCTGGTAATAAATAAATATTTCTAATAACCAATTAGCCTAGCCCCAAAGTAAGCACTGTAAGGCTTGTGTTATGGGATACTAGGGTAATGGATAGAATACATATGCTGTACATAAATAAGTATATTTATATAGAAATAAATATTAAACATCCATGACTGAAGTACAAATGCTCGTATTAATCACACAAACATCTGCCCCCACCGGGATTCGAACCCAGGACCTCTCGAGTCAGCGATACAATGAAACCCGGCGTACAAACCACTCGGCCACGGAGGTCGTCAAAAGGAAAAGTAATAAATTGAAAAGATCACACGCGCCGCCAATACATGCCTATATAGTTTCGGCACGCGTCGGCGCCGCTCTGCACTTGTCGTTGTTTGTCGGCCCGAGCAAACGTATTTGTCAGAACGCGTTTTCGCGACACGGCGCGGTGTCTGCGGTATATTTTTGGTAAATAGTAGGTACTGGAGTAACGATTAACGGACTTAGGATAATTTAACGAAAGTTAACGAGTCCGTTAACATTTTTAAAGTTACCTGAAAAGTTAACTCGTTAATCCGTAAGGTATCGTTACCTACCTAGGAAAAAAATTAAAGTATAACCACTGAAGAATATTTAATTTATTTATTATTTAAATTACAGATTATTAAATAAAACTAGTTTTAACGGGCTAATGCTCGAAACTTTGTTTATTTATTGACGTTTCGCAGCCTTTTCAGGTTTGCTTCGTCAGAAGTCGTTCTGACGAAGCAGACCTGAAAAGGCTGCGAAATAAATAAAGTTTCGTGCATTAACCCGTTCAAACTAGTTTTTATTAAAGAGTGATGTGCGTGAAAACCTAAGAAACAAATACAGATTATTACTTTAAAAGCTTTAAAAAACACGATGCATCGTTTTATCAATTGATGTTTAGTTTTCAACTTAACGAATAAGGTAGATTTGTCTCCATTTTTTGTCCTCGAAAATAGTAATATAATATATTTTCCATACTGTTTATAGCAGTATATGTTTTTATAAATAAATTGCAATAGTAAAATCCGTTCAAAAGTTCATTCATCACCGAATAACATGTTATTTTTTTGATGAGCATATATTTATGACACTAGCGGCCGCCTGCGACATCGTACGCGTCGAGTTAGTTATTTGCACATACTTTTTCGCCCCAAAAGGGGGTTTCTTTCTAAAGATACATTAATAGTACATCTATGACTTTTAAAAACAACTATTAACCTCTCCTACATGATCAAATTTAAATTATTTATATCCAATAATTCGACTTGATCTTTT